AACGAGTAGAGTAATCGAGAGTGAAGCCACATCGCGTCTCAGAATTCGTCCATTGAACTAGACGGCTTGTATCCCTTTGCAAGTGCCTGGGAACCGTGACCCAGGGGTCCGGAAAATGTTACCCAAAAATGTTCCGTAAGAAAAAAAAAAAAAAAAAAAAAAAAAAAAAAAGAATCGATACCACTAGCGAGCAATTAATTGGTACAGACTTTTACTTGGAACGGAGGAATAATATTCTGGTACAATAATCGGTACAACAGACTATGCTTACACGGCGTTCATAAACTGATTTATTTAGTACCGATCTACAAGATTTTTTCCTTTCATTTATCCCCCATCGTTCGTATCGTCGATGGCACGAAGTGTATAAACGAAATAAACACGTTACGACTAAATACCAGAAATTTCGTGAGCAAGTGAAAACGAAGCCGCAATTATAGTCTGTAAAAAAAAAAAAAATGAAGTAAAAAGTTTTCCCATTAATTTTCATCGATTATCCGGCTTCTCTTTTTTCCTCGGTACTTTGGTCCCAGGAGAATTGCTCCGATCTCTACCTCGTTGCCCGGTATCACAATCAGTGCCCGTATTTTCCCTTCGCGAAATTATTCGCGACATCGTACGGCCAATTTGCTCGAGTAAGTAAATGCTGCATTTGCGGGGACAAGCGCATACCGGTGCATACCGCTTGGCGTTACGTGCAAAGGTACTCAGAGCACTCGAATGTCAACTGAGCCACGTGATCATTTATTCGCGATATATAGAGAGCTTTTCAACTGAAATTGACTGATCAGCCTTGACTGCCATTGCGTTACATAGCGAATAACATTTAATCGTGAGTTGGCAACATTGTTGCGAAAACGCTGACTATATCAAGTTTATCCGACCTCTTTACTTGCAAATCGCTTCTTTTACTACGTGATTGGTTTTTATTTAAAAAAAAAAAAAACAGAATGATTTACGCAATTCTAATTTACACCGAGTCAAACTGCAAACCGGAATGCAAAAACGGCAAACGTTTCGTTAATCGAAATCGTAAATGTCATGTAAAATCGATAGCGAGAAAAATTTTCGTTCGCGTACGTGGGTACAAGCCTTAAGGTAGAGTCGCCGGCTGAAGTGTTGGCACAACAATAAGTGTATCACGTACAACCGTAAAGACGCGACCGCGCAATCCGTCCGCTTTGATACGTCCTGGCGCTGCGCGTACGTACGTATATCGTGAACGTTTATTCAAAGAACATTTAGCCGAGCATTTCGTAAGATGTTAATGTCATGTTCGAGAAACAAAAAAAAGAAGGATGATACAAAAAAGAAAGCTGAATATCATACACGCTGTAATATGTAAAATGGTGTCTATCATTTTACGTTCTCTCTCTTTCTCTCTCTCTCTCTCTGCCAAACTCTCTCGTACGAGAGAGTCTCTATTTGCATTCGATACACGAAAATAAAGCGTCTTCACGGGCGAATCTTGAGCGTCTATACTCAATACTAAAGGTGTGCACTATACGCTTCTGGCAACCGAACGCGAGAGAAAGAGCCTGTGAATTGGAAATGAGTGGGAGTGAGAGACGAGAGTGACGAAACCGTCTATGAATATATTTGCAGAGCACGCGCTGGCGGCGTGATACCAGAGTTAGATACCACGTGCCGCTTAAGGCCTATTTACACGAGGAATTCACGGGACGCTTATAATAACCGCAGTGCATTCTGGGCTCGGTTGTTTCGGCATCTTCAATTAAATTAGACATCCACGCCTCCCGTGCTTCCACTCTACGAGTTGCATGGGGATTTTCCATCAGCTCCATATCCCGCAGCCGCACACGTCCTAAGCTTACGGGAAAATTCCAATCCTAATCCGCGGGGTGGAGAATCGTCGAGGTGAAATCGCCGGAAATCCCCAAGGTAATTAGCCCCGGAAGGACTGACAAAGAGTTCGAGAAGCGATCCTGGCCCCGGGCCTGTCACGTCTCGTGGAGTTCTCGGGCGGGAAGAGAAAGAAAGGGGAAAAAAAGAACGAATGAACTGGAAGTAAGGGCGAAAGTAGGAAAAGGATCGTCGGGGATGACGTCATAGGGCTGAGCGAAGATTTTACCTTTGATAATCCTGGATAGAACCGGGAACTCGGAATCCGTCCGGGATGAAACCAGGGGACAGTTCGCGACAAAAATATCGTCTCTTTAACGATCGGGAAAATCGTTGATCGTAGCAACGTTGGAGAACGTCGAGACGTCTCGTGTACCTTGCTTCCGGAATTAAAGCGCCCTAGGACTTTGAATCGACCGCTTGCCTTCGAGAAAGGGAATATAACATGGTGGATGAAATCGGCCGAGAGTCTCCTGGAGAATTACAATTGTTACGTGGCACGAGACAAAGTTACGGAGTTACCTCGTTTCTACCTTCCGATTTTCCAAGAAACTCCAGGAAGTTCGGCTACGTCGACGTCTATGACTGCTTTGTATATGTGTGTGTGTGTGTATATATATATATATATATAGTCTACAGATTCTCCTATAACCCCACGTATTACCCTATTTCCCTTACTCTAACCTCCTTTTCTACCTTCCGTAATATTGTCGCTACTTAAGGTAAACTCACGATAACTCCGGTACGTCGTCCTCCTTTCTATACCGCGAACTTCGAAACTCCCCGTCATTTCATTTCTTCGCGGGCTCATGTAAACGGGTATATACCAACGTGGTACATAATGGTACGTCTGTGTACGAGAAGGTCTACAAAGTTAATACGATTCAACTCGGCTGCATTGTCTCTCTTAATTATTTTTTCATTAACTCCGTGTGTAATCTTACCTACGTCACTTGCGGTGCGCCTTTATACCGGATGGCGCGTGCATCGTCACATTCGGTGAAAATCAAGAGTTCAAGGTCTGAGAACCTCGTTCAGTGGCACGGTCAAGACCGATCCTCAAGGCTGGCGATTGGGGTTTATGGTTCAGTGGACAATTACGTTGCTTACGTCATCCTTGAGTTTTAGCGCAACGCGTAACCGGTGTTACGTCACAAAAGATCGAGATATGACTTAATGGTTAGGCGTTACGCTGATTACGTATGACCTTACCGCAGCAGGTGGTCGAGGATCTTTTACTTTTGTATCAGTCTGTATATGCGGGACTCGCTTGGAAAATTGTGTACGAGTTACGTACGATGAAACCGCGTGGTCAGCTACAGCGTTACTTGGCAACCTGACGCGACGATGACGCTGGCTCCCGGTTCAAGTGGTGGGGCGCCTCTTCCTTGCCAGCAGGCAGAGAAAGCGGCTTCTGATCGTCTTGCCGTGACGACGCCCACGCGATAGTCGTTCACGTGTAAACGACCGTGGACTTTGTACCCACGAATATCTCTCTGTTTAACATACTTGCACGTTGTATGGGGATATATATGTATTTCTCTTTCTAACTGTCGTATATTCGTCATGGCGAATCTTACGTATTCCGAACGCATTGCGGATTCTCCCAGAGTTATATTCGTGTAGGACCCAGGTCAGCGGAAGGGCGAATCCCTCGTGAACTTTCGTCTAGGAAATGAGTTTTGGTTGTTCTGAAAATTTATATATGTGTATATATACATTTGGTGCATGGTGTATGCGTTTTGGTGGAATTGCGGGAAATGCGTGTAATTAGGCTTTGATTATAGGTTTGCTTGGAAGAAGTCTTGTGATACGAATTATTACCTCTTGGGCACTCGGATGATGTTGACAGGGTGGTAGCTGATAATTTGTTACAAAAATTTGTCATTTTGCACGTACGCGTTCTTTTACGTGGATACAAACATGATTTAGCTAAGGGGTTTGTCCTTTCAGTCTGCAGTGTAAAGAATCTGGTAATTGGGTTGTAGATATGTCGTTGAAGCGGAATTCTCAGACACCAGGTATATAGTGTACTTCGGCCCCGCTTCGGACTGCACTATAGGTACGATGAGGACGACGTCGAACGTCGAGGTTGACGTTTGGCTTTGCGACGAGAATTCCGAGTATTACGTCACTGATGAAACATGTAATAGATAACTAGGTTTAGTCGATGCTCTAGATACAACATTAAAAACACGTTGATGCACGTTGGTTATTGAAATTTGGATTTTTTGTCAAATTTTGTTTTTCATATTTGTCACTGCAGATGAAAATAATTTTGATTCGAATTCATCGACCGTCTTTACTTTCGTTGAATTTCGAAAAAAAATTTCTTATCGACCGCTAAGATCGTTGTCAAACTTTTATCTCCTTATACATGCATCTTCGTGTACTCTTTTTTCTGAGTTTCTTGCTCTTATATTATTTTGCGACGGGACGGTTACGTCACTGGCGATTGGTTGCGCAATTTTATTCTTCATTTGAAAAGCTTTGTGTTGGGGTCTGCCTGATACTCGACGCGCTCACTTCTGGGTTAACATCGTTTTCTTTCGACGACCTCGTGACACCGACCACTTCTTGTAGCGATCTAATTGCAAGTCAGCCCGATGCGCATCTGCTGCTATAGATCGTAATTATTAATTAACGCGGCGCTAATAAATTAGAGTGACGCTCGCGGGGAATATTCGTGCCATAACGAATAACACGTAACTTTACCGCAATTGCGCCGTTACTCATTCTCCATTTGGTCGTTAAACCGAACCGACCACCTGTGACTAGGAAAACAGACGCTGGGTTACTCGACTTGTGATATCGGCCAGACACCGCCGGCGCCGCTAGCGGTTCAAAGGCGTAACTAAGTCATCGGCGTTATGTACGCGCACGGCTTCGTTAAATTTTATCCGCTTTCTTGTCGCTTTTTATAAAAAATAACGTGTAAATATACTTAGAGCTAGGGGACGGAAAAATATTTCGTTGCTCTCAGCCTCCGCCGGACGAGAACTGGGACAAGATGGCCGAAGTCTACTGAACACGTGGACAGTTGAAAGGGCTAAAAATAACCTTAACTCTATTACGCTTTTCATACCGGACTACGTATCACGTAATGCTTCACCTAACCTAAATGATCCTTCCGTTAGGTTATGGTGCCAGGCTGTGGACCTCAGGTACGTATATGGCCGAATCGCGTTTTCCCGCACTGGCAAAACCTCTGCCGCAGAAGTACTTTGTAACTATCGTTACCGAGAATTGGGATTAATTAGCGACGTACCACCGGAAGCTGGAAACCCCTGGGAGTAATTTCGCTTGCACCTTTGCGCTGGGAGGATGCTGCTACGGAAAGCGCCGAGGGGATATGAGGAGAGTGTGTGCGAGTGAGAGAGAAAATGTATCTCGCGTGGGGAATCCCCTTTATTTCTAATTCTGATTTATATAACAGGATGACGTAGGCTGAAGCTATCGAAAATTGAGGGTATAATTTTCCAGTGGCTGTTACCGTTACTACGATTCCTAACGGGTATCTGTCGCCATTCTGTAACGATACATCCCCTATTACCCTAACCCTCGTTGAACCGGGTAGACACTCGTACACAGCTACCCTCTTTACATAAGATACAGTGGTTGTCTCGTACACGTGGGTTAGCGTGCTGATATAAACTAACCTAACCTATAATAACACACGGGTCGAACTAACTTTCCGCAATAATGCATACTAACATCGGCGCAGGGAAGCTACCCCAATGTATGTCATCGATAGAGGAGGGCAAAGGCGTGCTATCGCTCAGTTGACTTTATAATAGTCTCGCAAGGTAGTACAGCCGCAAAGGGGGGTAGTAATTAACTCGTGTTATGGGCTGGATACGTGCAGTGACAGTTAGCTGAAAGATAAACAGTACTGAACGAACGATTTTCCAGTGTGTGAGTCTCCAGAGGGTAAGCGAAAGCGACAGGAGTTACGAATAGGGGTAGGACTTGACTAGGGGTAGTACCTGAAAGCCGACAGTGAACCACCTCAACGTGACCGTGATTGGTGGTTGTCCTGTCCTATTGCCTTAAGGGTTCCTTTAGAAAGATCCCTTTTCGCGGAATTCAAACCGATGGCCCATTTTGAGAAAAACTACCCCTTTGCGCAACGTACGATTTTCAAAATTACCTAATATTTATACCATCCTTATTATACCTAGCGATATGTTTTTTTTTTAACATTTTTTATTTTTTAATAGATACGTAATCACACTCACGTTCGTACTATACTAATTTTTTGGACTTTGCCTATTCATTGAGTACTTCGACCCTTCCGCATTAGCCGAACCGCAGGGGTTGAGCCGGTAGCACGATTATGGTTATGATCATTACCGTTAGACTGAGCGTATAAAATGGAAATAGAGTGTAATGGTTCTGGTTTAGGGTAGTTCGCCACTGACAATACGTCACGTAAACACGTTTACAATTACGAACCGGGAAAATGCCTAAATGTCTTTCCAGCGGTTTGACAACGATTACATAAATCCTGACGGGTTTTCCCACCCTGGTGTTTCGGACACTCCTTGAAATAGGGGGCGGCCGGGGGGAGGGGAGAGGCGTGGAAAATAACAGGGATTTATGGAGATGGTAGTTGGGCAGGTTCCGGGGTCTGTTGCTAATGGTCGGAAATAAACATTAATGCTCATTGCATCCGTTCTACTGGCGCCACTGTTGCAGGCTAGATAGATAACCGGGCATCTATAAGGTACATCTCGAGTTAAGGGTGGTTTTTCGCTATGGGGTGTCTGCGGGACGCCATATCGTTGCCCGCGATTCATCGCCTCCCTTGCGCCACTCGTTTGTCATCCCTTAAAGGATTGCACATCGCCATATAAAATGTCAACCACCGTCGCCCGTCATCCGACCCCCCCATCGGCCCCCTCGGTTTCCGTAGACCAAGTCGCCCCTGGGATTTCCCCTTTGCACGACTATTTATCATTCAGCTCGCGTGCAGACACTCAACGGGCTTTGCAATCACGTTAAAGCCATCCCTTCGCCCCACCGATCGCTTTTAACCTATATCTACCTTATTCTTGTCCTTCTTTCCGTTTCAGTAGCTTCCTCGTCCACTTCTTTTTTCGCTACTCGGCTTCCATTCTTTGTTTCCGCTACCCTTTCAGCTTTCATCACTATTCGTTACCGTTCAGTCGCTATACACCTTAGCTACCCAGGGCCTCCAATATCGGTGTCCCTTATTCTTTTTTTTTTTTTTTGTCAATTCTTCAACCCCCGATTCAGGGATTCGCTTACGTCTCGTCTCCTCGCTACCTCCACCCCACACACTCTCGCCACTCCTCACCGTATTCGCCGTATTGGGAAAAAATTTACACCCCGGCAAATTGCGCTCCTGATTTTCACGGGTAAATCTACCGGAAGTGAACGGCGGGTAATTTGAAATTTCACAGTGACGTGCTTGCGCGCTTGTACATACATATGTACCACCACGGTATCACCGTTGGACGATGGAGTTTCTTTTGATTTGGATTTTTTGTTAATTTTTTTAAAATTTATTTAAAACACTGCTCTCTATACTGAAATGAGGTCGGACCTTTATGAGAGAGACAATGGGAAATAGTTTTCTTATTTTTTTTTTTTTTTTTACGAGAAATCAATCATCAGTCGTACAAGGACACGGAAGTGTGGGTAATGAATTCCAATTCCTTTGATATTTAACACAAGTGGAAACTGATTACGAAACCAAGGATCTTGATTGACAATTATATGTCAGGATCTAATGAATAAGCACGCTTTCAATAAAATGCGGAAAACTTAACGTTATTTTATATTGTTTTTCATGATCGTGACGAGACAATTTTTACGAATCTTTGCATCGACCTCTTGGAAGCTCTTCTTTAATATATTTTATCTCTTTTTTTTATTATTTTTTTATTCTTAAGCACCATCTTAATATGCTGCTACCTTCAGAACCGAACGCGTGTTCTGAATAATCTATGCGCGTTACCACGGATTGGCGTCACTGTCCTATCCACAAACGTCGCGACGCTCCAAGGCGCCTGCGTCTGGTCGTATTGCTGTATAATTTGTATCGTCACGCATTTTTGGGCTTGTACGATTACAGAAAGTAGACGAAACATCTGTTCTTGTATGTACAGCGATGACAGTTTTAGTTTCGGGTGCCATCTCTTAATCGCGTACAGTATTGAAGAGTCCCCTGAATAACGAACTGATGTCGCGATACGACTGCATACGGTTTTCGTATGTACGGGAAAATCATCAAGGTGATTATCGCCTGCGCGACATTGTGCAAATATCGTAAAATGATCGATAGATAAATCACCTCGGAGGAATACAGCACATTTAGTATCGAGCAAGAAGTATCGACGATACTCGTGTAAAATGTGAAGATAATACATACATTGATGAGAATGGCAACTGAGGACAGATTTTATGCTTTCGTCGATGTATTTTGGCAGGTTTCCAATAAAGCGAGCAAGACCACTAACGACTCTTAGTGTATTTTCACGGGATTAACGTATGTATATTGATGGAGCGGAGGGGCCATAACGAATTTGATCAGCGAGTTTCTTTGTACATTATCGTGTGTTTATTTCGTTTTGTTTGAACGCTCTCTGTTTTACCGACCGTCGGTAACCTTCTCTCGGTCATAGCCGTTATTGTTTTCAACGAAGCTCGCCTCGTGCGAGCTATTTCGTTTGCATTGGGAATTCCCTTAACAAACCGACACTTCATTTTTACGTCACAACACTCGCGCACAGTTGAATACATACAATAAAACGTACAAACACCATATACGTACAACTGTATAGTACGCACGTGGCTACAATATGTGTGTTATCTTTTATTTCTATGTTGACGACATGCCTTTTTGCAATTCCCTATCTCTCGTATCTCATGTCTGTGTTCGTCGTTCCCGGCTTATTTCAATATTGAGATTACAGTTGGAACATTGTATGCCGTTGGTGTTTCGCGGGCTTTCACGAGGGTTAGAATCGCCATGGATTAACGAAAGAGGGTTTGGGGGGGGAGTGGTGCGATAGATTGCTGAGGCCAATTAATGTGCAACCACGTATGATGGATGATCCTGGGACCTTTTGTCCTCTATGACCGTTTCATGGGCTCTCGTCTCTGTTCGCTATAATGTATTCACAGCGTGACGTAATATATTTTTTTTTTTTATTATTTATTTCGCCTTTCCCCTATTTTTGTTTTCATTTTACTGTACGCCTGTACCGAGTTGTTCATCCCGAACGTACCACTTGAAGTACGTTTCAAGGTGACATAAAAAGCTCCATTTGATATTCTCATGGCAGAGTCGTAATGCGTTTGGACTGAATAACCCTGGCGTATACTCTCGATACCTTAAGTCCAAAGACCACGAGGCACAATTGGAAATGCGTAAATTTCACGATCGTTCGCCAAATCGTTTCTCAGTCCTCCTCGAGGATAGCCGTTACCCTAATCGTTTCCTGAGTAATTGTACGTAGATGGCGCTAGTGCCGCCGTTGCCGTTGGCTACGGATAGACTTTCCCAACTCCTAACTCCATACGAAAGTGGATGGAGGATAGCAATTTCCAGATGAACCCTGAGACTGCTCCGAGCTGGTGGTCTGGTGTCTTTGAAGGGGAGTACAGTCGGAGATGGAAGAAAGAAAAGAGAAAAAAAAAACAAAAGATCTTGGAATAACCTAGAGTATCCGTCAGGATGCTATCTGCAATTTTTCATCTTTCTCTCCCTTATCAAATGAGCCGCTGAGTGCACACATCGATTAACTCCACTTTTTGAAAAATCTTAAATTTAAGTGTCAAAGCACTTGGTATAGTCATAACTTTTTATATTTATAATAACTTTCCTGAATAATAAAGATTAGCGCCATTAAACGGCACAATTTTTTTGGCCATTGAATAATAAGTAATTTACAATATACATTACTTCATCGCAATTCTCAACTTTTTGTTTTATGGAGTTAATCGATGTGTGCACTGAACGGCTCAAATATAAGTCCGTTGGTATCTGCTGACGTTAATTATCTATATATCCCCCTTTCGCCTTATCATTAAACCGACGTTATTATCAATCGATACAATTGTATCAATTATATTTCTGCATCATTTTATGTGTACACTTTGTTATATATGAAATTTACACCAAGGATAATTTCACGGTTCGTTTAACGCGACTTCGAGTTTTCATCGCGACGACAGAAATGGCTATACGGGCTTTCCGGGTACTAAGCCGTCCGACTCTACCGGTAGAGTTACAACGACATTTCTGTGTTGACGAGCGCCGTTCCCATGTAACCGTCCGTCGCCGTTGAACTTTCCTGTTTGCCAAAGAAGTCGCGCTCCTGCGCTCGCTCGAGTCGAGCCACTTGGAAACTTTGCGTTTTAATGCCCATCGTCATCCACGCTTCTTATGCCTGAAGATAACGAACGTCGTTCTGTGTATACACTTGGGCGCGTATTTAATTGCCGACATCTGGACTGCCAACCCCGCCATCTGTCGTGATTCTCGTCCAAACAACGTGGACTGTATATATTTTAGGCGGCCGCCCAATGAAATTCCTGTAGCACGTAGGTATACTGCTCGAGTCTTATAAAGTTGAGGGTAAAATCTCTTGATCCTTTTGCATGCTCTGTGAAGTAAACGTTACATTCATGTAAAAGCGAACTCACCGTCTTTCTTAGTCGACACTTTAACGCCGAGTTCGTCAACTGTAACGAGTACTGTCAGCGGGCTTCGTGATTTTCCAGATATCCGTAGACGCCATATTAGTCTGTCTAAGGTATGAACGTCGGACGTTGGTATCTGGAGTACAGGTATGCTGGATTACGATTATGGTAGATATATATATATATATATATATTGCACGACCTGAGTACCTGGCACGTAGGGAGCAACACATTCCTCAAAAAGGTGTCCAGGAACGTGACGTAGAGGGCGCGCTTTGTACCGTGGGATAGGTTTATGTTCTAGGTATCCCGTGTAGTGAAGTGGGCAATGAAAGCGTGGGACGAGGGAAATAATGTACAAGGGGGATAAAAATAGGATTTCAAATGAATATATATTTTGTGTTTCCGAAGTTTTTGGAGTTGTTCGGAATCTTCATTTTTTTTTTTACTATTTACTGCACTTTCTCTTATACTGTATATGTATATATATATATATATCTTACACTCTAATCCATATACGTGCGGATGGTACATATGTATCTATATACCAGTAAATATAATTTTTTTTCTCTTTCCTCGCTCCCGGCCTTTCTTAATTTTCGTAAAATCCTCAGGTAGGCCCGTAAGTCACGAGGAAGCCACTCGCGTCCCCGTCGACGCCGTTCAGCCACGGGTAATAGCGGAATAAAAACACCCTTCGCGTCTCTTCGGTCAGAGTCTCAGCATCCAGCTAGAAGGACGTAGATGAGGGTTAAGAGAAAATAATAAGAAAAAAAAAAAAAAAAAACCCCCGTAAGAA